GCATTCCTCATTCATAATAAGCAGGACTCCTGGCCCTGTCTCCTGTAAACATCACCCGTTTTCAAGTTGTACAGTTTCCTCTGTTGCACAAAGAGAAAATCACGTCATGCCAGTCACAAATACACTCTCCCTGTTCCACAATCCCAAGCCCTTTGACTTTCAAGGAGGAAAAATAGGGAAACCAGAAACACGAAAGCAGGTATACAAATGTATTGTTTAGCATAGAAAGACTCATTTGTTTAGAGTTAACTGTTCTCCATTTGAGATGTATCACGAATCTGAATTTATATAATTCAAAAGATTGCTTTAAATTTAGTATGAAAACACATTTCAGTAAGTACTAACCATGTCATTCATCTTTAATACAAAGTTTTTAAAGATAGATCTGACTTTCTTGTTTCCCATTTTTGTCTTTCCTGTGAATGATATGGTTGGCACTTGATGAAATCTTTCATATTTGTAGTCAGCCCTACTAGTCTTTCATATATGTAGGACAAACCACAAATATAAATTCATTCATACATTCATTCATTCATTTAAATTTGAAGCTTTGTCTTTTATTTTTATTTTTAATTTTTTTTTTTTATGCCTACAGCACCTGCTATTCCTAGGTGGTCTCCCATCCAAGTACTAACTAGGCCCGACCCTGCTTAGCTTCCGAGATCAGATGAGATCAGGCATGTTCAGGGGGGCATGGCTGTAGACTACATAAATTTAAAAACTGTAACTATAGATTATTTTCAAAATATATTTCCAAAGGAAATTGTAGTAAAATAGTGTCATAATCACAGTGTCTAATTCTGTTGTGCAACCAAGGCGCCCCAATACACGCCCACCCCAGCACCTCCCACCAGGTTCGGAGTCACATCACCTGTACATGACAGCCCCTCAGGCTATCTTTTCTGGTCTCCCCTGAATTGCCTTGGCTCTCACACGCTTCATGTATCTTAATACTTAAGCACTATGTATATTATGTTCTCTAGCTGAGTTTTAGATGCTTCTCTCTTGAATCAGAATTTAATTTTCTTAAGGGGAAAGGCCACACTGAAATACCCTTACATTGCTTTATACGTATGTGGCAGGTTCTTAGTAAGCTCTTCACTCCACTGCACCCTGCCCTCAGCCTGGAATGTGGAGGCGTGACTTCTCTGTGTCAGCTCTGACCTTCACCTTTACATTCTCTTTCCTGTTGAAGATGAACCATGTGGTTATACTTAATAAAATCTATTTTTCTGGTTAATTTAAAGCAATCTTTTTTATCTTTTAATGCAGTTATTTTTGTCTTTCAGTTTTATTAAGATGTAATTGACATATAGCACTATATGAGTTTAAGGTATACAGCATGACATGACTCACATATATTGTGAAATGATTCCACAGTAAGTTTAGTTACTTCTCATAGAGATGCCCCCAAAAATGTTTTTGTCCTTGTGATGACAGCTTTTAGGATCATATTATCTTAGCAGCGTTCAGATATGCCATACAACAATGCTGACTACAGTCATCACGTTGTGCACGGCATCCCCAGAGCCTACTTATAACTGGGGGTTTGCACCTTTGGACCACCTTCCTACAGCTGCCCCACTGCCCCCTGCCTCGGGTAACCCGCAAATCCAATCTCTTCATCTATGAGTTTGGGTTTTTTTTGTTTTCTTTTTTAGAGTCCACATGTGAGATAATACAGTATTTGTCTTTCTCTGACTTATTTCACTTAGCATAATACCCTTAAGGTTCATCCATGTTTTAAATCAATCTTGAAAATTACATAAATTCAGATTTATAATGTTCACCTCCTGTTTTCTCAGGTTGAGAATAGCTTCATTAATCTTATCTTTCCAAATACAATGTGAACAGAGTAATTTATACTCTGTATGATAGCCCACTTCTGGAAACACGCGGGAGCTGAAACCATCCATACTCATCAGCCTGCCCTCCTTCTCGATAATCAGTTACATTCATTCACTGTTGCTAGACTGCCAGACTCTAGAGAGCATCTGGTCTCTTTAATACATTTTGCTCATTTTCATGTTGTGGTTAGACTTTTATTTTCAAAATTTAATTAAAAAACAAGTAAAATTAAATTATACTTACTCTCACCTACAATCCTACCTTGTACAGGTAATTCTGTTCACAATATATCTCTGTCCTGATTTTTTTGCCTCTTTATACTATATCTCTCTAGACACACTCACACACACACTTTATTTCCACATAGAGATTGCACTACACATAATGGACATATCATGGACATATTTCTAGATCAGTATCTACAGATCCTTTCTCATTCTTTTTTAATGGCTGCATGATTTCATTATAGGGTTGAGCCATAATTTAACATTCCCCTACTGAGGGACAATAATGTTGTTTCCAGTCTTTTGCTGCGTGCCGTACTGAGCAAACGCCTTTATGCCTTTATCAGGGCATCAGTGCAGCTCTTAACATGGAGTTGGGGCACAGACCAAATTTCGGTCAATACTGCTAACACAGGATTGGTTTTTCGAATTTCAGTTTCAATGATGATGTCTGAGTGCTCATTTCCTATACTCCGTACCCACCCAGCATTTAATATTATGCATCTTTAAAAATTTTGCTAGTATTGTAGAAAATTGTATTTTCTCTTAATTTAAATTTGTTTACTCATTAGTGAGGTGACTACCATTTCATGAGTTTATTGGCCGATTGTATACTTTTTTGTATCACCTGTTCATGTCCTTTGATGAGTTTTATATTGGTTTGTTTTTCTCTAAGAGTCTAGGTAAGCAGGTCAGATTGGTCCTTGGCCTGTATATGTAACTGTTTTCTTCTGGGCAGGATTCTGTGGGCCCTCAGCATCAAAGGATGTACAACTACATGTGGAAATTTAGTGTGTCTTGGGTTTTCAGGAACGGAAATTCGTTAGACCTCTGTAGTACTTTTCACGATTCTACAAAGGCTCTTTAAAGAACACAGCCACAATGAATATGACAGTAAAATTACAAATGGCATTTTGGTTTCTATCCAGAATGGAATATGTGCTGGTATTTTACAGCGCCGCCTCCTGTCTCTGTGCCATCCTTACGGGTGAAGAGCATTGAAATTGTGGGGAATCTGCAGTTACTGGGACCCATTTCAATAGCTGGGATGTCCTAAGAGGTGACATAAAAGATATATTCTAAGAGGCTCAGCTAGTCCTCGGCAACAGGGCCACTTTTGATTTCTTTAGTTTTCTTGCCTATTCCCAAGACTTGAAATCACCTTTTTTACTTTTATTTGAATTGTTAATATATTGTTAATAATTGTCCATATGATTCAAAATTCAGAATGTATACAAAAGTATGCAGTAATAAGACTTGCTTCCATGTCTGGATCTCTACTCCCACTTCCCTTACTCACAGGTAACCAGTGTTGCTAGTTTCTTTTGTATCTATAGATCTGCCTAGTACTTTTTGATTTTGAAATAATGCAATTATGAGAAAACATCAGATTAAAAATTGTATATCCACCTAGGAAGACCAGGTGCTGTAGGTGTAAAAAAAAATAAATGAAAATTTTTAAAAAATTAAAAAATAAGGGATTGTAAGTTGACAAAGTCCTTGCAATCTGTGAGGTCAACCAAGGGTTGCCTCACCTAAAAAATTTAAAAAATAAAAAAATAAAAATAAATAAAAATAAAAGAAAAAATTGTACAACTTCTATAATTAAAACTATGGCAGCCGAATTATGTATTTAAAATAGTTAAAATGGTAAATTTTGTTATGTATATTTGCTACAATAAAAAAACCTTAAAAAATGTCAAAATGACATTCACGTGGGCAAAGACTACAGAGTGACAACTTTTACATCTGGTTAGGGTGGTGAGATTGCAATTTAATTTTTTTCCATTTGCTCTATAATGTTGCTTATTCATTACACAATAATTTTACAAGGCAAAGTAAGTCATGAGAGAAGGACGTGTTAGCCTTGGCTTAAGTGTGCTGCCATCTCTCACAGATTGCTCTCTCCTTCATCTTAAGAGAGAACACATGCTGAGCTGTTACTGGGAGCAGCCCAGGCCCGTGGCCCCTCGCCATGACCCCAGCAGGCCCTACACAGAGCAGTACCGCATAGATGCCCAGCAGTTTGCACACCTGTTCCAGCTTGTCTCACCATGGACCTGCGGGGCCCACACGGAGATCCTCGCTGGAAGGACGTTCAGGCTTCTGGATGACAACATGGACCATCTTATTGAATTCAAGGCATTTGTGAGCTGTCTCGGTATGACTCTGTGGGTCTTTATTGCAGCGAGTTGATTTTGGGGTGTGAATGTATGAATATAAGACAAAGTGGATTGTGGAACAGGGAGAGCCACACAGCGAAGTGCATTTGTGACTGGCATGACATGATTTTTATGATTTGAAAAATCACTCTGCAGGCTCCTCTCATGACTGTTTTTATGCTTCGAGGGGTGGAAGAGGGGCCCAGGCTCTCAACATACAAGGTCACTTGTTCTCTTTGGTGCCCAGGATGTGGTGGTGGTCTGTTAAGGAGCCACGTTTTGAACACTTGCACATGAAATTAAAATTTTTCAGAAAGTATGAGGCCAAAATTTGTAAGGTTATTTTGTAGCTCAACAGTCAGCAATCGCCACCTTCCACTTTTCCATTTCAAACACAGTGTGTGTCTGGGGCAGAGAAGTGTAGAGTCAATAAGTGTTGACTTTACTAATCTCTCTCCAGTGAGTTTGTGTTATGACAAGTGTACTATAGCCATCTGCACCTACTCAATCTTTTTTTTTTTTTTTTTTTTTTGGCAGATACTATGTATAATGGAGAAATGAGTGAGAAAATTAAATTGTTATATAGGCTTCATATCCCTCCAGGTAAGAAATTCCAAGAGGAAAAATTAGGTCGTTCCACCATGACATGAATCAGCTTTGTGCGCAACAATGCAGTTCTTTTTAAATTTCATTTAGACTCAAGGCAACAGACATTTCTAGTTTGGGCTCCTGATGACAAATTTTAAGTGCTGTATTGTATGGCCTACAGCAGAGATGTCCAAACTTGAGTGTGTGCCAGAATCACCTAGAGGACTCGTTAACTTGCAGGTTGCTGGGCCTGCCTCAGTTTGACTTACCATGTCTGAGGACCACACCTTGCAAACTGCTGGCTCATGGAATGTGTGGGGAAGCCAGGCTCTCATGGCCTTAATGGATGGCCATTTCACCTTGCTATTTTTGAAGGACCATTTCTTTTTCCCAGCATGTAAGGCCATGCTTCCTTCAAATTTAAGCAGTGGTAACCAGGGACAGGGAAGCAGCTTGAGAACCTCTGGGATCAGACTTGGTGTTAACCTTGGACCTCTGACACAGATAGAGGTGGGTTCGGAATTCCAGAGGGTCTCTGGACCTCATTGCCATTGTTCTGGTGCTGGATGGGAACTCTGACAGAACTACCCAACGCGGACGCCTGGGAGGCTGGTGGGCTGTGAGATTTCCCAGGCCACAAAATCCTAGTGGCTTTTACAACTAATACCTGTATAAAAGTTGGACCTGCATATGGACATTATTTGTGGATTTCTGGGTACACTTCCTGAAGTCAGCCACTGCTGAACTGGCGCATAGTACAGTGTGCACTTTCTTTCTAGGAAGCATTCTGCAGCAGCTACACCTCCACCCTCTCACAGATTCTTTATTACTTTAGTGCAAACTGTTTAGCATCGGTGAAGTTCTTTGGCTTTTATGCCAATATAAGTTAAGTTTTGTTTTATATTCAATTTGCCTTTGCACAGATGTTTTCCTACTAACATAGAATACGTACATAATTATTTATTATCATTATCATTCTTTTCCATAATAATTGTTTCTGGTGTTGCTACAGAGAGAACACCAGTGATTTTATTCAATTTTATCTTGATTTTTAAATTTTATTTTGGGGTAATTTTAGACTTATAGAAAAGTTATATAGTATATATTATTCTTGATGTATTTTTAAATTCATTACTGCTTTTTGATATTATTTGAGATTGATATTTTTAACCTAACTTTATATTGAATTATTTCTAAATTATAAGTTTATTTCTAAAAACGCATTTTAATTAGTTCATTAAAGGCATTTGTAGACCTTCATGGCTTCAGAAAACCAATTTTTCAAAACTTTTGAACATATGTGATTGTAATATTTATATTGCATGAACTGAATTTAAATTGTTTAAGAAATTAAGATTTGCTATTTTGCTCACTTATGTTTAACATTTGAATTTTTGATGCAGTTAAAAGAATGCAGACCCTAAAACCTCTACTTAAACATATAATTTGCCAAGGCCATAAAGGTCCAAAATACATTTAGATACTTTTAATTTAAACATTTAAATAGACTTAAACAAATATTTACTTTCCACCATAAAAATTTTTTGGTTAAAGGTGGGACAAACACACTAGTCATAAAAAAAGTTTAACTCATTTCCTGATGAGAGGCGGGGTACCCAATAAGGTACATCACACCTGGCCTCAAACTCCCACATTATGCAGAGGGCCCTGGAAGAGGTGCAGGGCTTTTGTGAGCTTGCCTGCAAAGGTATCTGATACAATTCAGGAATCAAAGAGGCACTAGGCTCAGGGCTTCACAGTTCCAGAAGAGCTCACTTTATTGGCTCCATGGTAACTGCAACACTGTTTAGCAAAAGAAATAAATATTCCAGATGATTTGATACTGTATCAGGTGACATAGGGATGAAGAGTAGTCCAGATTATTAAATCAGGAGTTTTTATTGCAGATTGATAGATCTGCAAATACTGGTCATTTTACTCAGTTAATTGGACTTCCAGAAGACAGTTTCCTGGAAGAACATTAGATTCATTAGAAAGAAGCATCAAAACAAGCTACTGAGAATGATACACTGGCAATGGTAAACGGATACAAATGAGCAAGCCACTGGAGGCCTTCTGTAAAATGGCATATATGCTGAGAGCAGAGTTGACATCACAAGTTCCTGCTGGGGACTCTGAGATTGAGGGACATTGTTATATTGGCAGGGTAACCCTCCAAAAGGTTTCCCTGCTGGTCTGCATCCACATTAAATGGATCTTAAAATGTCGAATCTAATAAAAATTTGACCTGCTCCAGTCTTTGTGTTCAGCTTTATGGGAAGAAGTAGAGAGTTCTGAGGTCTCGTTTGTACCAAAGTGTGTTTGCTGTCCAAAGGAAGAGTTTTGTCGAGAAGCTGAGTTAAAAGAAATCGTAATAATTCCAATTTGCAGTTTGGCTAAAGCTAGTTATTTTAAAAGGCTTAAAATATTGAAAACTTGAATGAACTTAATTGGAAACTGAAAGAGCCCATGAAAATATATTAACATGTACCGATAGTATGGATTCAAAGGAAAATTTCCACTTAGAAAAGAATGAGGTTACAAATGCTTCATTAGTGATGTTTAGTGTAATTTGAATCCTGAAACATAATTGTAGGCTAATACAACAATATCTGTATGAATGGGGAAAAGCTTTATTTTGAAATACTTGATATGAAAAAAAACCTCAATGTTACATTTGTCAGTCAGGGAGAAGCTATTTGATATGCATAGTGACTATGCAAGAAGTAAAATTGAAAACATTTGAACCATTCAGATTTTTGGTAAGGACAAAAAAGGAGTTTCCATCAAGTAGAGAAAAATGCCACTGGTTTTGACCTTGTGATGGTGACAGTCTGTTGAAGAGGTCATTCTTTAATAGCCCTAATCAGAAATTATATGTAGCCATTTCAATATTAGTATGAAAACTAGTATTAAAAAGTCCTGAGTGCACTAAGATTTCAGTACCACTTGATCATTTTATTCACAAAATCTATTTTGTTCCATTGCCCATTGTAAAAGAACGTACTTTTGAAGTTTAAGTTCATTTACTTGGATCCATTTTCTAAACCTATGCAGTACACCTGGAAAAATACAAGAGCTTTGCATGGCATTGCTTTGTGAAGAGTACCTGCAGATGAGATAAGTACTGATAGAGTATTCACTGTGGATGAAAACATTAGCAGTGTCACCGAATAGGATTATTGTGTTTGAAATGAATATCAATAGGACCGAAGATATATTTGATATGACGACATTTGCCTAAGAGAAAAGTTGGACACTCAGATTACAGCCAGGTATTCGTTCTTCACTTTTTGGTTGGTCTTCTCTTATGGTTATATCAAGAAACGATACTGAAGATAAACTCCAAAATGTCCCACTTTTGGGAATGTGCCAGTATGTGAAAATATTTACTGGAATCCAGGAAAACTGAAGGATTGCTACACCACTCTAAGGACCAAATTATTCATGAGAATGGCCCAATGACGGACATGAGGAAGGCCCACCAAGTGAAATGGAAACCAAAGAGCTAAATGATGATTCCAGCCAGGAGCAAGGACTTGCCTTAGACAGTAGAAACTGAAGATTCGTTGCAGAAGATAATGATTTTGAAAATGGATGATGTACCGAGGAAGGTTGCCAAGGTCAGCTTCTCACACGACACCAGCAATGAGTGTACATCCAAGTCTAACAGCTTTGGCAATACCGACATCAACCGCATCAGAACTGACACCAAGCACACCAGGTGTGGTGACAGCTTAAGCTAGAGGAGATCTGCTCTTTGGATTGGGATCCAGAGTTGAAAATGCCACCTGAAGATTTTGAAAAATATGAAAAGTGTAGCCTACAAACCTCAAACTTTTGTAAAATTAAAGTTTGCATTGAACTTTTTTTTAAGAGAAAAGTGAGGTGCTGAAGATCCCCAATATTATTCAGATTTTCAGGGAGCCACTAAGAAATTGGGTTTACAATCCCAGCATTTAGTTATTACACCTCGAGTGGCTTTTTTTATAGTAGATGTCTGAGACACAAGTTGGATACTCCAGCTGACTTTCCTATCAATGACGGATAGATCGGAATTCCTAATTAATCCAAATGCAAGTCCTATAATTTGATTGCCTTTCCCAACCACTACAGAGGTGTAAGAGGAAGGTACTACATTGCCTTTGCAAGAAAATATGATGGGCAATGGTATTTTGATGACTGCAGTATCTCAACTATACCTGAAGGCCACATTGTTTTGAAAGCAGTATACATACTCTTCCAGAGACAGGAAGTTTCAGGTAACAGAATGTAAATCACTCATCCGATTTTAACTTGAAGTGAGACACAATGAAACTTGTATTTGGAGAGACACAATGACTACTTTAATAGAAATGTCTCTTTATCTATTTGTAGTCTTGAATTATGAGTTATACATATATTGGAATACAAAAATAAGGTTACATTTATATGTTAAAATACTTTAAAAAGCTGAAAGTACATTTAAAGACCGTATAAAAAACTCGGTGTTTACTATTTTCCCTAATGCATTGTATCTTCTATTCCTGACCATAAAGAGATGTTTTTCAGTGAGCTCCTAGCTGCCTCGTGTCCCCGTGTCCAGTCTGGGTAGTGGTTTCCGTGTGTGCCTAGAAAGAGGTTGGGAAGCACTGTTCTGTGGTTGGTTGGCCTGTCTGGTTGTCACTATTGGTACTTTTTCTGCCTCCTTTCTGGATACTCACTTACCTCTTGAATTAATTGTTCTACTCTGTGCCCCCATGACACTTGTGTATTCGTTTTCTGTTAGAGCATTTTGTTAGAGTGACTTGTGGACATGTTTCTCCTGTTTGATGTACCAAGCTCTTTAAGGATAGGGAGGGACCCAGTATGCTCTTGACAACTCAGTGGCTATGACCTGAGAAATCCTCCATCATGACTGCTCTAAGCACCATCCAGGGTTTGTAATTTTCCTCCTATTCCGTTTCTGAGTAGGTTCTCCCATGTGCCACTGCATATACTTTGTTTTAGGCAAATTTCGGAGCGGGCTCGGTATCTCTGTTATAGTAAAAATCAGAAGAAAAAAACCCCCCAAAACCCCCACCCGCCAAAATCCAGAAACCTACCTTCCAAGGAAGGAGGGTAGCTTATCAAGGCTTTGGTACCATCTTTTAGATATTTGTTCAATAACACTGAATTTTGCCTTTGATTTATTCTCAGTGAATAGCTTACTAGAGAAAGCTCAACCTTTTTAAAATATGAGGATCCTGTGTAAATGTTTTAACAGCTTTATTGATCTACAGTTTACATACCATGCAGTTCATTTAAGGTGTACGGTCGAATAACTTTTAGTATATTTAGTTTTATAGCTTTCATCACAATTTAGAACACTTTCATCACCCACCAAAGCAAGCCCATACCTTTTAGCTATTGCTCAGTCCATCCATTTCCCTGCTTTGTCTAGATTTGCCTAGTCTGGACATTTCATATAAATGTAGTCATGCAACATGCATGCGATTTTGTGTCTGGCTGCTTTCACTTAACGTTTTCAAGGGCCATCCATGGTGTAGCATGTATCGGTGTTTCATTCTTTCATGGCTGGATTTGGTACCCCAGTTGGTGGGCATGCTGAACTCATGCTCACCATTGATGAACACCTACCTGAGTCTGTTCCCACCTTTTGGCCCTTAGAAACAATGTTGTCACAAACGTGTACACAAGTTTTTGAGTGGACATATCTCATTTCCCTTTGGTATATCTACTGGAATTTCTGGGTTGAATGGTAATTCACATTTAACTCTGAGAGAACTGCCAAACTTTATATTTCCATGAGTAGTCTATCAGGGTTCCAATATAATTGTTTTTGTGCATTTCAGGAAAACTTGTAAGGATAAAATGCTTTGGTTTTTTTTTTTTTTCCAATTTTGTTAGAAATTCTGTAATATAGCAGTAGGTGTTCATTGGAACTTTTCAAATGGGATTTACTACATACGCCTCCCAGGTCAGTACTTGCCATGCAAGCCCTGCGCATGTCATCAATCACAGCAGTACGTATACGTTCAGGAAAGGCACTGACTGGTGCAGGATGCTTCATTTATTCCGTGTACCCAGTGCCTGCAAAGGCAGGAGTCCACAAGTTGGGGGCTGCTGGCTTGGCCTTTAGTTCTTAAAGAGATACAATAATTTGTTCAATTTTTTTTTTTTTTAAGCACTCACTGAAAATGACCAAGACAGCCAGTCACCATTAAAGAATCCTCTGTTGTCGACGTCAAGACCCCTGGTTTTTGGGAAACCAAATGGCATGTATCTCTTTTCATTGTTCCCTTCCACCAGGTGTGTCATGGTGACTGTCAAGAGCCAAGACTCACCTGCTCCCTCCCTGGAGAATTAACACTGCTTTCACAGGCCAGAAACCTTCCTGAGCCGCAGTGCACTGGGTGACAGCCCCTCAACCCTACCACATTTACTGTCTTGCTTAATGTTTCAGGGAAGGGTTCTCTCCTAGCAAGAGGTCACCCAGCTGCCACACTCCATTTCTGGTCAGCTGTAAACAAACTCCCTCTTATGTCATCTGTGCCCCTTTGTATATGGATTTTCTTGGTGGAATTCCTCATCCCCTCACCACTCACTTCTACACACACATACATGTTTAACTTTCATGGACTTTATGTAGATTAAAGTATGTTTCCTTTGTCTCAGGTGATGCAACTGATTATCAGAAACAGCTGAAGCAGATGATTAAAGATTTAGCCAAAGAAAAAGATAAATCTGAGACTGAGTTGCCCAAAATGAGCCAGGTATGGACTTTATTCTGTGTAGAAAGTTAACTATTTTGCCAAATGATTTGTTCAGAAGCTTGATGGTTAAGCTGAGACCCCTTTACCTCTACAGCCATTATCAACGGATCTTGTAACTTCTAGCCAAAAATTGTGACTAAATGGGAAATATTTAAGAGGCTGCCACACACTTCATGTCTTTGAAGTTTTTATATCAAATGCATCTACCCAGGTTATGGTTTATTCCCTAGAATGACAGCAGCATTTGGGGGCACTGGGAATAGTATTCTTCCTTTAAAAATTACCCTTTAGTTTCTTGAAAAACTAAAGTGACTACGTAATATACAGTATTGACACGTCTCTAAAGTCTACGCTGTCCCCAGAAGAGTTGTCACATTCAAGTGCCATGATGATAGTGGGTCATTTTTATTTGAAAAGAGTTCCTCCACAATGTTTAGGAAATGTAGGCTGCAAGTTGAAACTGTTCCTTTATTATATGATCTAAATATTTTGATAGGTACTGAGCCTTCAAGAGTCAAATTTAGCAGTGTTTCTTTTTATGACCACAAAACATCTTGTGGGATTTCTGATTTCCCAGCCTGTTCGAGAAGTGCTCCTGCTCTTATCTTCATTGTACTCCCTGAATATAGTTAATCTCATCACTCAGAGCTTTTTTTTTTTTTTTAAAAACTATAAAAAGTTGGCTGCAGCAATACCTTGCTTTCATTTACTTCAAAGTAATCATGGATATTTCTCCCAAATGATTAAATGAGTAGTTCTCTAGGTATTCCTAGAGTAACTGTGTAGCTAGCTAAACCCACAGGAAGCATCTCAAGTCAGTCTCACCTTAGATGGGAGTAATTTGAGAAAGCATGACATTGTCATTGTATATTTCACAGCCTTTAGTTGCTGCATGCTGTTCCACCAGATGAACAAGCCCCAATTTTAGTCATAATAGAGCTGTTTTCAACTTTTTTCCTATTATAACCCTTAGCTTAAACATCCCTATAAACAAATCTGCAGTTTGTGGGTGCAAATCTGCAGTTTGTGGGTGCATTTCTACACGTTGATCTGCTGGGTTAAAGGGTACGTACATCCTTCAGCTTGTACACATTTAAGAGTTGCTATATAGACAAATCTCTTTTAAGTGTACTGAAATTCCCTAGAATCAAAGGGCAGCGACTACCTGCTTCAAAAAGTACTATGCAGTTTCCTCTAAGAAAACTTGGAGAAAGTATAAAGTATACTAAGTATAAAATTTTAAAAAATGCATTATACCACCATCTTGGTTATGCCGCTATGTGCTCTTTTCATTCCAGAGGGAATTTATCCAGTTCTGTAAGACGTTGTACAGCATGTTCCACGAAGACCCAGAAGAAAACGACTTGTACCAGGCCATTGCCACAGTGACCACTCTGCTGCTACAGATTGGGGAAGTAGGACAGCACAGCAGCAGCAGTTCAGGAAGCTGCTTCCAGGAGTGGGGGGAGGAGCTGCAGGCCTTGGAGCCCTCTCCAGAGCAGGACTCGGTTTTTGCAGACAGTGACACTGGGCCGACACCCCAGGACTCCATGGCATGTCCTGAACAGGCAGAAGGGAACTGGACTGTCTCCCTTGAGCATATTTTAGCTTCACTTCTGACTGAAGAGTCATTAGTAAACTTTTTTGAAAAGCCACTGGACATTAAATCCAAACTTGAAAATGCCAAAATCAACCAGTACAGTCTCAAAACTTTTGAAATGAGTGGCCAGTCGCACCCTGAACTCAAGGAAGATAGCAGTTTGCTGACGAGACGAGCCTGCCATACCAAAGTACAGACCACAGTGTCAGGGGCTGTCAGCCCGTAAGTGTGTGTCACACGCTGGGCATCCAGGTATGCACCCCAATAGCCCTAGCTGGGGCTGGGGGACTGAGGCAATCCTCAAACATTTCTATTTATTTGTTAAGAGAATTATGAGTTTTACTTTTATCAGATTTGCCGAAATGGGCACTTCTACTGTGATTTTGTTCTCAGATGAACACAAGAGTCCAGTGTATCATGCTAACTCAAATAATACCCAAGTTCTCATTTTTCACTTGGTTACTGGGTGGTCAAGATCAAGTTCACTTTCAAGATCTAAGAGCACTATCTGTGCAATCGTTATTTGGTTTTGTTTGTTTGCACTAATTTTGTTTCAATGCTGGTAATTGAAACCATTTTAATATTTTTGGTTATATTCACTTTGTCCTTCCAAAAATGTGTACAAACCATGCTTTCAACGTTAGCCTCCAAGTTTTTTAATAAGAAATTTTTGTACTGACTTTGGTCCTTGTTTATACCTTTTACTTACATGCATGTTTAAGGTCTAGATGGTGCCAGTGAACAGATAGGCTGGAGCTGTCCCCTCCCCTTCAAATCTTGTGTTCTCAACGAGTAGAGCAACACTGTAGGTGGTCCTCAACCCTACTGCCAGTGGCTGTCCACTGCCAGCACCAACAAGGCTTCAGAAATGACCTCTTTACAGTGGCATAAAACTAATGTAATCCTTGCAGCGCCTTCCTTTCAGGCTGAATTCAGATTTGGATGTATAAGCAGCTTTACCTCTGAGCTTTAGCGCCACGTAAGCTAGCACTAAAAATTCTTCATGGGGCCATTACTAGTAGGTGAACTAAAATATTAACTGTACATATAAATTAAGCATATCATTAAGCATTTACACCATCAAAAATCTATTTTAGATGACAATTATATACCTTTTGAGAGTTACATTCAATACAGATATAGGCAGAAGCTTAAGGACATACTACCAAATATATTTCATGAAATCTAAGATGCTGTCAATTGCCTCATTTTGGTTTAAAATGAAAAGAAGCCAAGAGCAGCTGAGTTCTACATGGCAGTTTCTGGAAAAATGTTTATCTTAGAATTAACGAAACATGCAGGTAAAAAAAACTAACCTATGTATCTCCACTTTCCCAGCTACCTAAGCAGTTATTCTAAAGTGAGGCTACATACACTTCAAAATCACTTAAAACTGCTTGGGCCCTGTCCAAATATTCAGAAACTCGAGAGGCTGGGGACAAAGGACACAGGCATAGTACTTAGGAAAAGCTTTCCAAGTGATTCTATAATTGGGAACTACTTTAAGATACACAGTTATTACATTGCAACCAGAAACGAGAAACCAAACCTCAAAGGCAGTTTTGTATCTTTATTCGACAATCAGCAGTTAGTTCTCATCCACATTAACTGTCTGTAGATCTGCAAAAGAAGTGACAGCCAGTCACCTTCCATACCCACACATCTCATTTTACACTTTAACTTTCAAAAACCCTTTTCTTGAAGGGTTTAGGCAAGTAATAATATTCACTGTGACCTTTTTACAACCCAGATATGAACCCAGTTTGTGTCCTTTGAAAGCATTTTCTCATACCATGACAATAATGGTTGACTCATCAAGTCTGTTACTCAGATCCCTAGTGGGATGCCAAACACAAGCGCACAGCATTTGTTGGACAGATAAATTCATGTTATAAAAGAACTAAAGATGTTCTTCTAAACAGCTTTGCAGAATGGAGTAAAAACTTACTTTTGAAAGTGGTGACAGGCACATAGGTAACTAATGTATAGAGCTTGTTAGGTGAATCTTCATCTTCGTTACGTTTTCTGGACAACCGCACCCGGATACGGTATGGGACATTCCTTATAAATATAAACGTGTTGCTAAAGTCAGTTCATCCTCACAAAAATAGCCACCAGCTGTATTCTTACAGGCTGTCCTTACTTCCAAAACATGCTTCTAATGCTCCATCCATTGTTCTAATCTAACCAAGCAGCCATCACAGGTCTAGTTCCCTGGAAAATAAACTCACCCACAGGTAGACATAAAATGCTGTCATCTCAGGATGGATACCTGTCTTAGTAGGTAGCCACCACTGACATTCAATCTATGCAAAACTGTGGCTATGGGCTTCGTCTGTTAAATTTCAATTTGGAGAAATACTGAAGGCTCTGTAGGCTTAATGGAGCAGGTTAAGACCAAGGAGGGTTTCAGTTCCCTACCTGTCCGCTCACCCAACCTCACAGCAGCACCACAGTGGACTGTATCTCCTTTTATGGGTCTGAGGACCTGAAGCGTCCCGAACCTCAAGACCGTTCCTGGCTCCTACGACACCACTTCAACTTTATCTCCAAGGAGCTGTGTTGGCTGCTCCTTTTTTAGACACATCTCTACCGTAACTCTAAATGCCAGCCCACTACAGGACTGAATCTCAGAGCCCTCTACCATCCCACCCACCCCAACATTGAAATACCACCCAGATGCTGCACCTTGCCCTGATCCAGTCTCTCAATGCCACTCCCCTTCGCACTCCTATGCACTCCTACTCTGGCACCTGACACTGTCCTCCATGGCAAAAACCACCCTCCTGCTGAGGTGCAGGGTTTCTAAACCTCCGCACTCCCGACATCTTGTCTGGACAGCCCCTGCAGGGATGCTTAGCAGAATCCCGGCCAGTAACACTCCCTGTGGTGATAACCAAAAACGTGCCAGGGGGAGTGGGGCCAAAGTTGCCTATGGCTGAAAACCAGTACCCCAAAAGTTTCTACAGATAAATCCCAACTCTTCACCATGACCGACTTGATGCAATGTGGCTTGTCCCTTGCCTAACTCTATTCTCATTCACTGTTCAAGTCATTTATTTGACCCCATACTCATCAACCGGTTCCCAGATCACACCATGCGCACTCTCTGTACAAGGCTCCCACCGGACCCTCACGATGGTGGCTCTGCCATTCAGGTCTCGTTTCAAATACCATGTCAAAAGGCCTCCCTGCATATGCTACCTCACCCTTGAGTTACTGTCACACTATTTTCTTCTCTATGCATTAGCTAATTACAGAACATGTAGACCGCAGAGCGAGATAGGTAAGCTAGTGTCACTTGAAAGGTCTATAATACAATACAGGTAACTTTAGTACCTGATCCCTTTGGCCCAGACGGCCTTGTTGAGCCTGGTATCGATGCGTACATCTGGAGTCCCCATCTCCTTCATGGCGAATTTCCGGATCTCTTTGAGTGCCCGAGGAGCACGCTTCTTGAAACCCCTGAGATTCAAAAGTAAGTAAATAAATTACAGAAGCACAAAATTAAATGAAAATGACCTATTTTCACGAAAGACATCTAAACTGAACTCGAACAAGGCAGGAACAATTCTTTTCTTCCACTGGCATATAATGCCTAGCAACAAACATACTTGAGACAGAGAAGATGCTCAATCCACTTTCAATGAGGTAAGATGAGGGCTCTGCATGTGATCCTTAAATAATGCTAAAATACACATCTGTCAACCCTTTCCTGATAAAACATCCCCAATCTCTAATACCACCTGTGGAGAATATACTCAAAGAATGACGTTAGAATATGCTTGAACTTATATCATACAACACTGTATAAATGCAGTAAGCACCCCCAGATCAAAGTATAATTAGATTGTCACATCTTAAGACACAGCATGTTTTTGGAGATTACTCATGTAAGTCCACAAACTTGGTATGTGCTTGAAGAGTAGGGGCTTGTGATGTAGACTGCCTCTCGTGAAGGACGATGTGGACCACAGTTAATTCTATGGAGCTCTCAGCACATGTCAGGCACTATTCCAATTCTGAGCCAAGCACTATTAATTCTATGGAGCTCTCAGCACATGTCAGGCACTATTCCAATTCTGAGCCAAGCACTATTAGTGCACTGTTTAGAAGGGTGCACACATCCATTTGAATCGCATGCTTTAAATAAAATGTGAAAAAGCAAAACTTTACTATAGGCAGAAATGACTAAATATTTGCCTAAGTGCAGGCCGTTCCAAGTGGGGCTGAGAGCGAAGTCTGAAGGGGTGTCCCACCACCCCAACACTGAACGTTGGAGAGGGGCCCTGTCCATTTCACCTCTGCAACCCCATGCACAGTGCCTGGCACATACAGGTGCCCCACACTTGTTAGATGAAGTGAATTTTATGAAACCCAGTAAGTAACAAAGAAAGCATGCTAGAGTGACTTAATTCTGCTCCAAAAACTTCAGTGACTTCCTGACCCACAGAAGACCTGACTCTCCATCCACACCCACTCCTCGCTTGGCCTCTTCTTACATCTCCCTGCTCCCTCTGTTCTATCTAGCAAGCAAGCTCACATCTCTTAAAGGTGCCAGATATAATAGCAGTAGGTTTAACAGACAAAATCCTCTATTCTTCAGCTTACGTAGGTAGTACTCCTGGAGTACATCAGATGTTGTCAAGTCTAACAAAGAAAAATAAACCAGTGAAAAGAGGGACCATTAGGGGAAGAGACTGCAGGTTTGAGTAAGATGGCCAACGAGATACTGGAGTCAATATCTGAAGACAATGTAGGCAGCCATTCAGGTATGTGTGAAGCGCATTCAGGCAGAGGGAGAATAAAATAAACATAAAACCAAACAGCTGCCCTGAATCAGTTATGTGCCTGGTATGATTAAGAAAATAAATGGCCAGCTCATATGGAATCATAGCAAGAACTCTGACTTCTAATCTGAATAAAATGGGAAGCCAACATATGGTTTGAGGACCGACCGGGTAGGTGAGGGAGGGAACCACAAGCAGGGAGCTGCTAACTAGCCATTCAAGTGACAGAGAAGGTGGAGGAGCCAGTGCAATTAGTCCAGATGGTGACTGAAACAGGGAAGGCCACAAGAGAAATGAGAAGGTTAAGGCTGGAGATGGACATCGGGAGTCTGGTTTGGGGCCATGTAAAGTTCAAGATGTCAACATAAACACCTAAGCACAGCAGCTGGATATGCAGCCCTAAGGCAGACAGAAAAGAGCATCTGAGGCCTGGGACTCCTCACCATTAAGAGGGTGGTAGCTTGTGAGGAGGAACCAACAAAGTAAAATAAGGCATTTCTGGAGAAGAATGAACAATGAACTGTCAAACTTAGCCACCAGGGAGGCCTTCCCCTGGGGCGTCTGTATCAAATTCACCCACCTGCAATGGCTCACACCTACTTTTCAAACATTCCTTGCTGTGCTGGCCTCTAAAACAACACCCCCTACACTCGGTGACTTCCACTTCCCACTTGGCCATTTTTTCCATTTTATAAATACTTGCCTAACTTCCAGTACTAAGCAAACTTGGAAGGCAGGGTCTTTGGTTCCCCACTGAATCTGCAAACAAAACTGTGCCTAACACACAGGTAGGTGCTTCATGCCCCAGATAACAGGGTCAGGGGGAAGAGGCATGGGTACTCACAAACAGCATTAACGGAAAGGTGGCACTGATTTTTGACCTGGAAACCATCTGAAACTCCAAATAAGACAATGCTCCTTGGCTCACACTCGGCTAGGAGTGCAGAGCTGAAAACGCCAGACTCAATGTGGATGTTGCTGCACATATAAATCTCTCACAAAATTAGTTGTGCTGACACAAGACTGCCCAGTCAAATGCAGGAAATTTTGCTCCAAAGATTGGTGCCCAAATAGACTATTTTGCTATGTAATATAACTATTCAAGATCTGTTTACATTATCAGCAGTAGGCACTCTGTACAAAGAAAAACGCAAGGCTTAGAAGCCAAAAACCAAACCCAAGGAAAAACCAAGCACTAGAATATTCACACCACCAGTATTCTCGTGCATCTCAAATCCACAGCTCCCATGTGTCCCCACCACAAATACTGCCCTAAAAATCCATGTGTAAACTCTTGTTACAACTCAACCAATAGTAATCAGTACACATCTGTGTAAGTCAAAGAAAAATAATCAATTTAAGCGTTCACATTCTGGGATGGACCTGGCTTTTTTACCAGAGTCTAGAAACTGTTTGCTTTCCCTCGCATATATACTTTTCACCCTTTAGCCTGCCCAAGTTTATTTAACTACAAAGCACAGAGTGAAATGATTTTATCACCATGTTTTCACAATTGGCTCTCCCTGGAACCTTATTCTATCTCACGTTTCCAGTCATTAACCTCCCGGCATTAAAACCCCATAAACCTCAAATACGGTCCACTGATTAAATCTGAGCGTTTGAAGAAGAAATGCGTTTAATTTCTAGACCACCTAGCCTTTAAACGACCGAACAGACCTGAGTGACCACCAGACGCGCTGAGTTCGGGAGCCCCCAAAGCAAGGCCCTGGACGACTGCAGGAATACTCACACTCCATGGATGCGCTTGTGAATGTTGATGGTATATTCTCTGGTCACCACCTCGTTGATGGCAGAACGGCCCTTCTTCTTCTCGCTACCCTTCTTCGCGGGAGCCATCTAAATCCAGGCAACATGGAGGATCAGAGCAGAGTGAGACAAGCACAAGCCAAGTCCTCCCTCCCGGGCCTTCCCTCATGCGGCCGCCCTCGGGAAGCTCCCGGGTGCAGAGGGCCCGGCCAGGGCCCCGATTCCCCAGGTAGGGGCAAAGCCAAGCCGGCCATTCCCGGCACAAGAATCCGCTCCCCTCAGGTGCCTCCATCCCGGAAACCCTAGCAGCCCTGGGCTCCTCTGAGCCATTCTCCCTCCCAAGCTACGAGCCCTTAAACGCAGTGCTAATTTCCATCCCTCGGAACGCGCAGCCCCGGGCCAGCTCAGGACAGACCCCGCTGTCTCGGTGAACGCAATCCCGGAAGAGGATGGAGCCAGATTACTGAAGGTCAGACCAAGCGCCCATACTCACACCGCCGGGACCAAGCTGGAAAGGACGAGCACGAGGTATTGTGGGAGAAGAAAAGCAGCGTCATAAGTACAACTTCCGGGTCGCCTGGAGGCGGCAGGAGCGAGAGACGAGGCTATGACGTCAGTACTGCGCGCCTGGGGTAA